TGAGCTTGAGGAATGTCCAGAATTAAACAATGCACAGAATATGATCTGATCAGAATTATAATGCAACCATTATTTTCTGTGATAAAGGCCTTATTCTTTTATCAGTATAGAATAAGCTTATGCTAGCTGTCTAATAATTACATTGCCTTAATAGATCCTCTTCTTATATTGACCCTTTTACCAATGTAAAATGTCACTTGTCTTATTTTAGTGCTTTTAATTTTAAGTTTCTGGTATTAATTTGGTAATTGTTCCTTCTTTGTATTTATGTTTATCTGGAATCTCTTTATCATCTCTTTCATTTTTCTTTTCTTATCAACAATATGTACCTGGGTTTACTCCAATCTCACAGTCATTTTCTTTCAATAGGAGTATTAGGCTGTTTATATTTTATATAACAACTGATGTACTTGATTTTATCTCTATTAACTTAACTTTACATTTTCTGTCTATTTTACTTTTTTGTTTCTTTTCTTTACATTTTGCTGGTTATTATTTCTCTATTGTTAAGTGAAATCCACATACCAACTCTTTCTGCACATTACAGCGCTCCATTTAGTCCCCATTCCTCCCCCACCCCGGGACTTTTAGCATCTTCAGTGAGATCCTCAGAATGCTTTTACCTTTTTCTTTACCCTCCCCAGTACTCTTAGGTTCTCTTTGCAGAATGACTCTCCATTGATTCTCATTTAGAGAATGAGACAAAACTCCCAGTCATCCCATCATTATCTATTTAGATTTAACATATTATACACACCACATACCACACACACACACACACACACACACACACACACACATTATCATCACTCATTATTCTTCATCTTGAAGTCCCTTTCTGATTCGATTGCTATTAAGAGTCCCCTCATGTATTTCCTCAGAAGGCATCTTGGTGATAGAGTCCCTAAGGCCTGCATATCATCAAATAGTCCTCTTTTACTTGCATAGTTGAAAGTGTGTATTAGTTGGATATAGAATTCTTTTCTCTCAGTAGTCTATAGATGCGATTTCACTCTTTCTAGCTTGTATTTTTGGAAATGAATAATCTGATGTTGGTCTGGTTATTTTTTCCTGTATATAATCTGCTCTTTCCATCTACATAGAAACTTTTGGATTTTCTCTTTATCCATGCTATCTGTATGATAGAAATCCTATACAATAACATGCTACTGAACATCTCTTTCCAACTCTGCATTCAGGACTGCATGTTGGTAGCTTGAAATCAACCATGATTGGGTTATTTATATGATGGAAGTCAGGGTTGCAGCCAGGAAATCCTTCTAATGCAAGAAGTTGATCGTGCTACTCCAACACTTAAAACCCTCTAATGATTTTCTCCATTTGCTGCAGAGCAAAACCAAAATTATCTAAACTGACATGCAAGGCCTTTTATAGCCTAAACCTGGTATCTGCAGCCTTACCTGTGGATACTCTCCAGCTCAAGCAATGAAACTTTTAGGTGCACTTTTAGGAAAGTATCACAACTGCTTGGTTCAGACCCTGATACATGCTATGACCTCTTTGTCCCCAACCTGATTCCACTCCACTCCCTTAATCCCTCCAACCACACACATACACCTTTGTGTTAATCTGTTTGGACGGCTATAACAAAATATCATAGACTAGGTGGCTTATGAACAACAGAAATTAATTTCTCACAATTTTGGAGGATGGGAAATCCAAGGTCAAGGCATAGGCAGATTCGGTGTCTGGTGAGGGCCCACTTCCTCATAGACATAACTGTCTTCTCACTGTAACGTCACACAGCAGAAGGGGCAGGGAAGCTCTCTCTTTTAAAAGGTTATTAATCCCATTCATGAGGGCTCTGCCCTCATTTATTTAACATACAGATTTTGGAGGGACACAAACACTCAGACCATAGCAACCTTCAACTGGTTATTGCCTGCTCAAATTTAAGTTAAAGTTACTTACTTAAGAAGACCTCTCCAGTGTGCCTAGACCTGGGATGGTGCTGCCTCTGGATGCTCCTAAGCATCCTGTTCTTACTAACTTATATACATTTGCTTACATTTTACTATAATTATCTATTTGCTAATTTGTTTCCCATGATAAGCAAAGACTTTTCATGTCTTCCACGGTATTCTTGATGCCTAACAATCAATATTGACTTACTGAATGCATTAATATAAGGATGAATGAGTGAATAAGCCCCCTTGATGTTGAGGAAAAGGATGAAGAGATAAAATTGATGAAAGGAAAAAAAAGATATAAAGGACGATATTGGCAATTTGGATCCAAAGAGATAATTGGTGTAGTTCTAAAGGAAGACCAGAGCAAATAGATCAGAAGTGATAACCAAGGAATAATAAAACTGTCCTGAAAGGAAGAAATATTTAAATCCATAAAGCAAAATTATTCAAACTGTGTCACTTCTTGCACTTTTAAAAATAAATCTTATTGTCATCATGGATTTTTCTTTTAACATGCCATTAAATTCTATTTTCTGACACATTTGAGAAAAATTACCTTTATATTTACTAATGAGATTACATTACCAACTTTACAAGTTAGATTACATTATATAGTATGAACTGCTCTGTAAGAATCAGATACAAAAATAGTCATTTCTCCATGATTTTTAATAATTGCTTCTACTTTATTATAAGCAGGAAGCATACCTCTCCAATTTAAGTCCCCCTCCCCACTCATCTCAGATTGAGAAAGATAGGGATGACTCAGTCCAAAGAAAATAAGACAAGCTTTTTTCACACAAGAACCCGGGAAGTCTGTTAAGTCCATCACTACTGTGGTGATTGACAAGGCAGCCTGTCATTGGTCCTGTGCAGATGTTTGATACTGTGCCGATGGTCTTTCAGTCTGGGTGCCGGCCTGAGTCACTGTGATGACCAAGCTTGGCCTCCACAGGCTTTGAAACCACTTGCTTAGCCAGCGGTGCTCAGGGCATAATCACTGTGTCCACTCCTAGACCAAGAAGTCATACATGGGCACCCGTGTAACATCCACTTTTACAAGTGTCTTATTTCAAATGCCTTTCAGCATCTGCTGCAATAAAGGTTTCCTTTGGACTTTATAATATGTTATATTAATATATTCCCTTATACTAAATTATCATTCTCTTACTATATTGCAGTCAAGTGCTAATACTTTATTTAGGATCTTTTAAATCTATATTCTACAATCTACGTGTGCACTTTTCTTTTGTGCTAACATTTCTAGGTTGCAATATTAGTATTATAGTAACTTCCTAAAAGAATTTAAAAGATTTTTCTCTTACTGGAACATATTATAAAATATGAAAATTTTATCTTTTCTAAGACTAAAAGAAATAATTCTACAATGACATTTAGAAATAATTTTTTTCTTATGATTATATATTCACATTTCTAATTCTTCAAATTTAGTAATTAATATGTTTCTATCATTTTCTTTAAGATTTAAAAAATGTAATACATGATTATATATTATTTCATTGCTATTGACTTTTGAATCTATTGTCATAAATTCTTTATCTTTTCTAATTTTCTATGTTTCTGCCCTTCCCATTTTTTTAAAATTAAAATTCCACTAATTAGACTAATTTATAAATATTTATAAAACCAACTATTGACCCTATTTTTCAATTCTATCATTTGTGGTACTAGTACTCTAACATTAATTTCTGCTTGTATATGGCCATGACTTTAATGCCTATTTTGTTTTGTTTTCTGTAGTTATTATTTCTTATCCAAAGTCTAGAGTTAAATGTTCCATTCTTTCACTTTTATTGTTTTTATCTAATGGAAGAAGATAACACCATAAGGTTATCATTAATCGTAGCTTTGGCAAATCTCATACGCACTACTTGTATATGGCCATGACTTTAATGCCTATTTTGTTTTGTTTTCTGTAGTTATTATTTCTTATCCGAAGTCTAGAGTTAAATGTTTCATTCTTTCACTTTTATTGTTTTTATCTAATGGAAGAAGATAACACCATAAGGTTATCATTAAGCGTAGCTTTGGCAAATCTCATACGCACTACTGGGAAGTTTTTTTCTAATCTGTAACTATGGCTACTCTTTACTTTTTAATTAAAAGTTATTAATTTTTTTCTCTTTTTAAATGTCCTGTTGTATTTAATTTAATTTATTATGAACTGTATCTTGGTCAAAGACTAGATCTGCATAATTTCTTCTTTCAAAATTTATTGAGATTTATCTTTGTGGCCTGAAATAAGATTATATCTGTCATTATTCTACAAATATTTAAAAAGAAGGTTTATTCTCTCCATTTAGGATACAAAGCTTATTCTTAGCTATTACAAAACATTATTGTTTATTATATTATTTAAATGCCCTGTATCTGTGTTTTTGTCTTTACTCAATCTATGAAGAGGATTTAAAATATAATTAATAAGGTTGTTTTAATACATATACGATGGACTTTGTACTCTACAGACTATTATAATTATGGCATCTTCTGGTTTCCAGCAGTAATGCAGATTTTACTTGTATTTACATTGCATTGGCATTTTAAGTTGGAGTTTGACAGGAGTTTAATTTTTAGATGAATTCACTTCTGCTCATTTGTGTCCTAATATTTCCATTTTTCAGTTTTTTCCATTATTTTTATTCTGTTTGTAAACACAGTAAATGTGCATGAAAGCTCAATTCTAGACAATCTTGACTTCAGGTATAATTACACTAAAATATTTTATTTAACAATTTCCTTGATTATTGTCAGTTCATGAACAATATGATGCAGTATAAAGAGCTCTAGCCCAGGATCTGCATTTGTCTTGGAAAAAACATTTCCTCTCTCTGAGTGTCAACTTTAAAATTCTATGATTCTATAAGCTGGATTTACTTATAACTGGACCTTAATAGAGTCTTACAATTGGACTTTGTAGATATATAACCATGGAGAACTTAATAGGTAAACATAAACTTAACATTAAATTTAGTTTACTGATTGCTTGAGTACAAAAATTGCTTTTTAAAGGTTTGAGAATGAATGAAAAAAATTAATGTTTACTTACAGCATTCCCACCAATGACATCCTCAAAGCCGAGTGTGGACATTCCAAATTTGCCTTCCTCCTCCTCTTCTTCCTCCTCTGTCTCACCTGCGTACTCCATGACTGTAATAATCTCCATCATGTCCAGCTTTGCGATATTTGTGCTTCTTACCATAACTACTCTTTATTGCTGCCGAAGAAGAAAACAATGGAAAAATAAGAAAAGGTGAGATTCAAATTTAAGCTAATCTCATGTAGTAATATTTTAAAACCTACATATTTAAAACTGGAATTGGGGATGGGAAGAGGAATATATATCACACTGCCAGTCTCCTAATGGCATCTGCTGTGGACTGATTGAATTTTGTCCCCAAAGTTCATATGTTAGACGCTTAATTCCCACTGTAACCATTGAGGGTGGGAAATCCTGTTATGATATTGAGAGGTGGGACCTTGAAGACGTGATTAGATTGTAGGACCATGCTGTAGAGAATGGGTTAATAACAGTAGTCAGGGATGTGGTTCTGAGAGTTTTAAAAGAAGAGCACATGGGAGGTTAGTCTCTGCTCTGCTCTGCCATTTTCTGCCATCTGAGACCCCTGCACTGCTGTAAAGCCACCACCAAAGAAGACCCTCACCAGATATGTTCCCTGGATTTTGGTTTTCCCAACCTCTTAAACCATAAGCAATAAATTTCATTTTCTTTGTAAATTACCCAGTTCCAAGTATTTTGTTATAAGCAACAGAAATGGACTAATACAGCATCCATAGCCCTGCTTTAAAATTAAGCACCCCCACCATGATTTCTAAAATGCCAACGATTTTTTTGCATGGGATCACATGTCCTGAGGTTAATGTTTCACAAAAGATAGAATCTAAATGATGATTTGAAAGAAAATGGCTCTTTCTGCTCTGCATCTTCCCTCTTAGTCCCATTGCCACTGCCCATTTGGATGGTGGTAAAGTTCCAGAGAAAATTCTAGAGGCTTTGGGCTCTAGACCAAAAAAGTAATGATAATTCATTGCTCTCAAACTGAAGGATCTTTGACTGCATTAGTATAATTGGTTTTGTTTACTCCTAAATGCCATATCTCTTCGAATCTGAGTACAAAGCTCTTACCTGCTCCTGGGCTCATTATTGACGTTGCCTGTCTCACCCGCAGAGAATCAGCAGCAGTCACCCTCACCACGCTGCCTTCTGAGCTCTTGCTAGACAGACTTCATCCCAACCCCATGTACCAGAGGATGCCACTCCTTCTGAATCCCAAATTGCTCAGCCTGGAGTATCCAAGGAATAACATTGAATATGTGAGAGATATTGGAGAGGGAGCATTTGGAAGGGTCTTTCAAGCAAGGTAAAGTTATCCTCAGAAAAAAAGAATCTCTCCACTAAAATATGTTATGTCTGAAAATTTATCAGACCAGTAGCTTGATGTATATATACTATGTAGCACAATAGTTGTTATTAAATTAGTTAATCTTTACATCATTAACCTTATTTGTATTGCATACTACACTTTAGATCTTAATAATTTTCCCTCTTTTCTGTAAAATAGAACTGTATATTGAGAAAATATTTTATTGCATTTAAAAGTAATTTATAGAAAATCTAAATGTATTTTTATTTACATCATGTTCAAATGATAAGAAATTAGCAATAGTTTAATCATATTTCCTTTTTGTTTTTTTATAGCTCCTTTTTGAAAAAGAATCTATCATACATTTTTAATCATAATTTCTTTCACTATTTTTAGTAGACAATTCTCAAATTTACTTCTCTTCCATTTTCTATTGCTATATTCTCCATTTATTTAAAGTTTATTTTGAACTGTTGTTTTGATTTAAAAATTCAGAGTCTGACATGTATGGATATTAAGGAGAGGGAAAAATAACACAAAAATTTAGAAAACACTGAGCTCAAGAAAGGAGTATATATTAAGGCCAACACTAGCCCATTTATCCCCTTTGTGTGAATTGGAATAAAACACCCTCTTTTCATGGATGCAGCTCCATTGACACACAGCTGGGCCAGAGAATGTGGGTTTGGTTTTAATCACCAATTGTCACTTTGGTACCCTTGGGCATGGTACCCTTGGGCAAGAGCACCTTACCTCCACTCATGGTGGCCTTGGTCTAGAAGTTACATGAATAATGAAAACTTGTGCAAAGACTTATTGGGAACTAAAAATATGCAAGGTACCACTTTAAGCTCTATTGGGGATATAAAGATGACTAAGTTATGGTTAGTAACTTCTTTCAAGGGCTTTAGATTCTGGCCAAATTTTAAGGGGTTAGGATGGCAGCGATAATCTTATTGGGTCTGTGCACTTTAGAATTTCTGTAATTTATAAATAATACATTTTTAAAATTTAATCTATGTTGAAAATAACCACAACAGTTTTTATTAATTGGAGTCAAGTAGCTTTAAATATGACCTACTATTGTCCTTTCTTTGATTTTGTGGCTCTGGGAAAGGCTGCCTAAGTGGGAGGATGTGTATAAATGTGGGTTGATATAACATGCATGCATATAATATTCCTGATTTTTAGTTTCTCTCTCAATAAATTAATCTCTCAGGGCTCCAGGTTTACTTCCCTATGAACCTTTCACGATGGTGGCAGTAAAGATGCTCAAAGAAGAAGCCTCGGCTGATATGCAAGCGGACTTTCAGAGGGAGGCAGCCCTCATGGCAGAATTTGACAACCCTAATATTGTGAAACTCTTAGGTATGAAAATATAAGTGAGGAAACTTATTTAATCAGAAAAGAGAGGCTTTCTAAGTTTTCTTCCTTTATACTTCATTTAATTATGCTTTTTCCTTCACTTCTCGATAAGTGAGATGTCTCTTTTCCTTTCCAAGGTTAGCCTCTCACCTAAGTGCTAACACTCATTTGATCCTAACACTGTAGGATATTCATTGCTCATGGCTTATTTCTTTTTATTTTTTTCTCTGACTTTGCTGCCTTCCATTTATAAAAATGTTTAAAATGTCCCCACAGTAAAGAATTTTCCATTGACACTGCATCTCCATCACAGAATTTATCAATATTGAACAGTCTATACATTTTACTTGTTTATTTTGTTTCTTCTCTTTTTTTTCCCTGACTAGACTGTCATAGGGGCAGGGAATTATATGGTTTTTGTTCGTTGATGTGTTCCCATTTATTCACAGATTCATACATTTCACAAAAATATAACAAATATTTAGTTTGTATTAATTGTGCAGCAATGGACAAAACTTTCAAAAGTCCCTGCTCTCATGGAGCTTACATCGTATTGGAGGAGACAGGTGATAAAAATAAACACCTAAAAATGTGGTGTGCTGAATATTAAGTTCTAAAGACTTTTTAAAAAATCAAAACAGAGACGTTTTTGGAGTGTGAGCTAAAATTTTTGAAGACTTCGGCTAAAATGTGACATTTATATAAAGACCTGGCAGAGGAAAGGGAATAGCTATGTGGATATCTTGAGAAAAAACATGCCAAGAAGAATGAAAGGGTCCTGCAGCAAGAGCATGTCTAGTGCCCTTGGGGCACAGCAAGGAGGTGAATGTGGCTGGATCAGAGTGGACAAGGGGAGAGCTGTCAAAGACGAGATCTGAGAGGTAACGGGGGAGGTGGGCAGATCCTGCCAGGCCTCTCTAAACACTTTGGTTTCTACTCTGGGTAAAATGGGAAGCAAATGGAGGGTTTGAGCCGAGAAGTGACATGACATGACATGACTCACATTTTTTCAGTACTTCTCTGGTTGCTTTCTTGAGCATAATCTGAAGGGAAGCAATGAAAGCAGGGAGACAGTAAAGACATATTGCAGTCGTGCAGAAAGAGAAGATGGTGGCATGGACCAGGGTGGTGACAGTCAGGATAATGAGAAGTGATTGGGATCTATGTGTAATTTGAGGGTAGAGTCAAGTAATTTGCTGACAGACCAAATGTAAGATGTGCAGAAAAGAGAGAGAGCGGTCAAGGATAGTTTCAAAGTTTGGGGCTGTGCAGCTGAAAGAATGGAGGTGCCATTGACTGAATTGGAAAAGACTCAGGAGGAGTGGGTTTCTTTAGTGAAGTGAGTGGAAATTTATTTTAAGACATGTTTTTTGAGATGCTTATTCAACATTCAGATGAAGTTAAGGAGACACGTAGATATGGAGGCCTAGAGTTCAGGAGGTTGATCTAGTCGTAGATATAAATCTGAGATCATTAGAGAATACAGAGTATTTAAAGCCATGAAGCTGGGCAAGACACCTAAAGATGGAAAAAAGAAAGCCAGAAAAGGGAAGAGGGCTAAGGACTAAACCCTGGAGCATTCCAACAGCTAGGGCAGGAAGGAAGAGATGAACAAGCAAAGCAGACTGGAAAGGAAAAGCCAATGAAGCAGAAGTAAACCAAGAGAATGTGCTGTCCTGGAAACAAAATAAAGTATTTCGAAGAGGTGAAAGTGAACACGTTACATGTGATAAGTGAAATGAGAGAAGGCCTATAAAGTCACCTTGGATTTGGCCAAGTGCAGGTTCATTGGTAACCCTGATAAGAGAAGTTTCTGAGTTATGTTGGGAGAGTTACACAGTACTTAACAATTCATCCTGAAGATATTTCTTCCACTTCCTCAACTCCCAAACATTCATCTATTCAGTTTTTATCACCCGACACTCTGAATCTGCCTTCTGCCCCTCCACCCTTCTTATTTTGCTTTCTCAAATATTATACATTTATTCATTAATTTATTAAACAAACACATACACACACATTGAAGTTCCTCAAGCAACTTCTATCTCAATAAAATAATCTATTATCAGCCTTCCTCCTGATCAATTTTCTGCAAGATTTGACACCGCGGGCTGCCCTCCTCGTGAAGCTTCTACGACCCATCTCTCTCTGTGATTTTCTTCCACCCTTAGTCTTGCTCAAGGGCTCCTTTTTCACTCCCCTCAACCACTCCACCAAGAGTCAGTATGCCCAAGGATCCTGTTCTCACCCTTCTTCTCACCCTACACTCTTCCTTTGCACAACTCCTCTTGGGCAAGCTCATGCCTTCCCCGAATATTTTGATAGATCAAAAATCAAAATCTCCACTCTACTTTCCCCCCTAACCTTCAGATACATATTGTCTATTGCTGGCTAAATATTTAAACTCAACTTTTGCAAAACTGTAGCTGATAAACTAGCTGGTTTGTTTCTGGGTCTTTGTTTTAAGCATTCCCCCAAACATTGTGAGCCAGAAATATCAGGAAGATTTGAAGATTCATGAGAAAAGCTGAGTCCCCCCATCACACTCATTTTGAGATGCCTGTGTAACAACTGTCAGGCATAAAAAATATAGTAGTAGAGCTTGAGAGAGATACCGAGAGACAGGTACTCTTGCTTTTTGAATTTTTGAAAGGCTGTGAAAATGATCTGCTATGAGCACAAACAGATATTTTTCTATTGAGGAATAATGTGTATTGTTTCTTAAAATGTTGACTCTGCATTCATATATAAATATTTGCAATTTTACAACATCCTAACCTCCTGGGATTGATTTAAACACAAACTATGTACAATTTGCAAATTTATGATTACTGTGGTAGCATGTTTATACATCACTCCTAAGAGTTTTCTCTCATTTTTATTGGCCAACAAAAACTCAGACTTCTGGCCGGCCCGGTGGCGCACTGCGATGGTGCGCCGCTTGGGAAGTGCGGCGGCGCTCCCGCCGAGGGTTCAGATCCCACATACAGACCGGTTCCCGCTCACTGGCTGAGCGGGGCACGGGAGCAACAACGGGAGCAATCCCGTTGCCGGTCCCGGTCCGGTCCGGGGGCGACACTGAGGGTTGCGATCCGTTGCCGGACACGGAAAAAAAAAAAAAAACTCAGACTTCTATTACCATTTGTTAAATGATATATCTAAATTCCATTTCAATATCCATGAACACAGGGTCTGTTTTCTATCAAGTACATGTAAGCAGTAATGATTCATGCATGTGATTCCATCACCTTCATAGTTTCTTGAAAGTTAATACCATTTAAATGAGTTGACAACAGTGTAAGGGGAATTGGGAAAATCCATAAAATTCATTTCCAATAAAAGAAATCTGCCCTGTTTCAGACATTTGGAACATCGGACACTTACTGAACACGTTTGTATCTTAAAAACTGATTCCCTTTTATTGAAATCCTAGTGCATAAGAGTTTTTTAATCAGAAATTGGGAGAAATGGGTATAAAATATGGGGATATGCAGAATTTTAGAATAGGAAGAGGCATTAGAGATCACAGACTCTTACCCAATATTCTGGCTGTTGAGGAAACAGTGAACAATGAGTTGAGATAATTTGCTGAAGATGTCACACTAAAGTTTAAAGACATGACTTGGACGAGGCATGAGGTGTTCTTACACTCATGCATCCATCTGTCCATCCATCTACCCATCATCCATTCATCCATTCATTCACAACATATATTGAAAACCCATAATGGGCCATGTGTAGTATCAGGCCTGAGGTTACAAAGATGAATAAAACACAGTTCTTCCCTCAAGGATTTTATTCCATTTTGAATTCCCAGGAGTTAGGTTAGAGTTATTACAATTTGTAAAATATTTAAGCTTTTAAATATATATATATATATTCACATACTTGATTGTAAATTATACGTATATATTTATACATGTATAATCACTTTTCATGACCATCATAAACTGGAAATCTTCCATATAATATTTTCTATATCAGGGAGTGGAACAGTTCATTAAATAACCTTGGCTCAAAAATTATTTTTATGTCTCAGAGAAATATGTTGTTATTTCTTTTCTAATATAAGAATTTTTTTAAAGAAAAAAGAATTCTTTTTAAGTCAACTCAACTAGTATAACTATGGCAAAGCCAGTTGATGAGATAGTTAAATCTCTGTTAACTAAAGATGATCCAAAGAAGATCCTGTAGAAGAAATTTCTAAGTATGACCCAATTGATATTTTAAAATTTTTCTCTTTAGAACATATAAATATGCTGATTGCTAAAGTCCCTGGAATTAAAAATTAACCCCCAAATAAATAAGCCAAGATACCAGTATTCCTTATTTCTCTTCTTTTTCTAATGGAGACTTTCTAATTTTTACCTAAAAGTAATCATGAATCTAATTATCTATTTTATGGTGATATAAAATTGTGCCCATCTTATCTAATATTCCAAGTTCTCCAGTTTCCCTGTCAAATATAGCAAAATTTTAAGATTTGTAAATATCCTCCTGGCATTGAATCTAAGACTCTATTTACATTAACTTTTTTTTTTTTGTAGAAAGAAAATCATAAAATCTTAATTTCAAAATGTTTTAGTGCAACATCCCAAATACTTCATGTAACGATCTTGGATTGTTTTAGTTATTCTTTCCAAACTGCTTACCTCTTCCTTATTATCATTCATCAGAGAATTAAAAAGAACACAGAGCCACGACATGACATACTCAGAGCAAACACCAATTCATAAATTCATTCACCAAACATTATCAAGCACCTGCTCTGCCAGTAGCATGGTAGGCATGGGGAATTTAGAGAGGAATAAAACCTGATTTCTTCTCTCAAAGTACCAAAATGCTGACAGAAACCTCAAATGAACAGATGATTATAAAATAGGATGGCAGGTACTACGTTAAAGGGTGACAGAAGGAAAATCTAACTGATACTGGAAGGGTCAGGAGCTTCGATACCCTGAAAGAGTGACAAATAAGCTGAATCTCAAAAGGTAAATAGGAGATGTTAGACAGGGTTAGGGTTCAGCTATGGAGCTGTTAACAGCAACAGCAACAAAAACCAGAGCCCCATATTTTCTGATCCGGTCATTTGCTTTTGGGGTGTCCTTTCTACTGTGTTGTTTTAGTAACCAAGCCTAACCGAGGATGCTGTTTGGGTTCCAGGCGTGTGTGCTGTCGGGAAGCCTATGTGCCTGCTCTTTGAATACATGGCCTATGGGGACCTCAACGAGTTCCTCCGCAGCATGTCCCCTCCCACGGGGTGCCGACTCAGTCACAGCGACCTCCCCGCGAGGGCTCCGCTCTCCAGCCCCGGCCCCCCGGCCCTCTCCTGTGCAGAGCAGCTTTGCATGGCCAGGCAGGTAGCCGCCGGCATGGCCTACCTGTCCGAGCGTAAGTTTGTCCACCGGGACTTAGCCACCAGGAACTGCCTGGTGGGTGAGAACATGGTGGTGAAGATCGCCGACTTTGGCCTGTCCAGGAACATCTACTCAGCAGACTACTACAAAGCTAATGAAAACGACGCCATCCCCATCCGCTGGATGCCACCGGAGTCGATTTTCTATAACCGCTACACCACGGAGTCTGATGTGTGGGCCTATGGTGTGGTCCTCTGGGAGATCTTCTCCTACGGCCTGCAGCCCTACTATGGGATGGCCCACGAGGAGGTCATCTACTACGTACGAGATGGCAACATCCTCTCTTGCCCTGAGAATTGCCCCCTGGAGCTGTACAATCTCATGCGTCTGTGCTGGAGCAAGCTGCCTGCAGACAGACCCAGTTTCACCAGTATTCACCGAATTCTGGAACGCATGTGTGAGAGGGCAGAGGGCATCGTGAGTGTCTGAGGGTGAAAATGTTCAGGTAAAATGCTGAAATCTCCTCTCAGGCTCTGTGAGCCAGAGGAATTCTACACCGGAGGCCCAACAAGACCCAGATAGGAAAGAATAATCGTAGGCACCAGTAGCCTGTTGTTTGTTTCCCAGGAAAAACCAGGGCAGTGCAGAACCCACGTGGTAGACAGACCCATTGAAAGTCGGTGATTGGGAACATATGTAGGTTAGGAAATGTGTCAGATGGCAGGAGATCACTATTCTTCCTCATGGGGAAGGTTTGTAATGCACATCGTACAGGAAAAAATGTCATCTAGTTCAGTTCCTGAATTAGCTGGCAGCGGAATGCGGCTCTGTCGTGTTAAATTTTAACATGAAATGGGATTCAGAGCTTCGTTTTTAGTAGAGTTAATTCCTGTCCATTGCGAAAGCAGTGTATCTTCATGTCAGAAATTTAGGAAAAGTACAGAAAATAAAAAGAAGGAAAAACCATTCATTCTTTCACCACCCAGAGATGGGTGTTAGTTTTTTTTGTTGAATTTCATTCTTGCATTTAATGCATAAACTTATATTTGTATTACAGAGTTGTGGCTCTACTTTATTGATAGAGGGTTTCTAAGGAATAAAATGACAAATAAACAAGGTTTTATTCTTACTGTGATTTTTATTCCTTTTTCTGTCTTCATGTTCCTCCTTTAGAAGTTTTCCCTTTGTGTGCATTTGTCATGAAATTAATCTGCTTATTTTATTTCTACAGTTTTTCTAAAAGAAGTTTTTATATTTTACCAATTTACCATTTTCTTTGAAAATTTTATTGTTACCATTTCTTTACTTTAATTTTTATTTTGTCCTCTTTCCATGCCTTTCTGTCCTTTTTTTTTGGTTATTTAGCTAATTTTTTAAATTTTATTTTATACATACAATACACGCTGGCAGAAATAATTTTTAAATAACAGGTTATTTAGCTAATTTTTTAAATTTTATTTTATACATACAATACACGCTGGCAGAAATAATAATTTTTAAATAACGCTGTAGATGTTATTGTAGGTGGATATGTATATATCTTTTGCAAAGTATTACCATTTTCTTTTGTATGTGCCTTTGAAGCCACACATTTCAAATTTGGCATCATTTTAAATTTTATTGCCATAGTTTATTAAATCTCTTAAACCACAGTATGCGATTTCACAAGGTTTTCTTATGGCTCCAAGTTATTTCTAAACTAATGTTTTTATGCATTCTGACTTTTTTTTTTCTTTTAGAAACCAATTCAATGGGCCACAGAATTAATACAGTGTTGCTTAGCAAGTTTCTGCATGATGTATTAACCCATCTTGTTATATTTTATGATTTTTTAAAAAAAACTCTGGAACTCAGATTTCTGGTGTTTAATATTTCTCGGTGGAGCCTCACAGAATATATCTTTATCTAAGTCCACCATAAATGATATGAGTTTATTGCTAATATAGCATGACTCCAGATTCTCCTGACAAAGAAATAAGCAGGGAAGGGAAAAGTCTACACCCGTTTACTTCAATTCAAACTTAATCACTGAGTTTTTATTTCTTTATCTGTAAATGGGGATGATACCAATAGACCCTTGAACCTTTTACTTCAATTCAAACTTAATCACTGAGTTTTTATTTCTTTATCTGTAAATGGGGATGATACCAATAGACCCTTGAACCTTTTACTTCAATTCAAACTTAATCACTGAGTTTTTATTTCTTTATCTGTAAATGGGGATGATACCAATAGACCCTTGAACCTTATTGTGAGGATTAAATAAAACCAAATGTGTAAATGCAAAAAAAAAACTAATTGGTAGTTGGGGGCAATAGAAAAATGGTCTGATTTCTTGAAAGGAGATTTTCAACTGCCTGCTGGAACACGGTACCTAAAATCTGCAAATCTGCCCAATGCAGCAACTTGACATCACTGCTGGAAAACCTGCCTTCCCTTATTCATAGGCTCTCTAGGCAACTGAGACAGAAATGTGGAAATTGCCCTATACTTTGCCCTCTCCTTCATCCCCCATATCCTATCAGTTTTACTTTCTGAAATCCCCCTGCTCACTTTCCCTTCCCTTCAATCCAACAGCTCTATCATTGCCCATCTATTATCTGACCTTCCTCCCACTTCAGGCATGAGCAGATTCCACCGGCCATGACAGTGATACAGAGGAGCTTATTCACAGTTTTCATTCATAAATAGTGAAGTCAGAATTTCGGATTGAGACCTAGAGAGGTGCTTTAAAGTCATGATTATAAATCCAAAATTGATACTGTCACTCAAAGGGCCAGATGAAGAATAAAGTTGCAGTATGAGTCCAAAACAAAGGATCAAGAATCCAACAAAGCAGAAAAGTTGGAGAGGATCACCAGCAAGTCCAGAACTTTGGTGGAGGTATCCATGGCATATTTTAAATGACTCACGGATGTGTGACACATATGGTCTGCAAAATTCAAAGATGTCTTTGGGGTTCCTCAGCTGATAAAGTTTTATTGTAAAAGAAAGACACAGAAGTCAGGCCAATAGGAGAAGCTACTTTACTGAAAAGCAGGGCCAGAACGGTTGCTCAGAGGACCTACCACGTGGCTTGTGCTCCAGGTATGTCGTAAAGTTTTATTGTAAAAGAAAGACACAGAAGTCAGGCCAATAGGAGAAGCTACTTTACTGAGAAGCAGGGCCAGAACGGTTGCTCAGAGGACCTACCACGTGGCTTGTGCTCCAGGTATGTCGCCACTCAGAAGCAGGTTTCCATAGCCCCTGCCACTTTGAGCTCCCTCCACCACTGCTAGATAACTGCCCTTACTTCCTGTCGCTTCACAGCTTCTAAAGTGTCGTGGATTCTCTGTCTGTGTATTTTCTAGGCTCTGGTATTCAAGATTCCAAAGCAAAAGAATCATAGAAATGTAGGTAAATACATGAATGAGTGAGCAAACAAGTAAATATTATGAAAACCATTCAATTTTATTAAATATTTAAAGTAACTGAAAACAAAAATAATGATAGAGGTCTTATCTATCCCAATATAGTAATAAAAATTATAATATCAGCTAGTTTTTATTAAAAGCTTACCACATATATTCTAAGGTCTTTCAGTATATTAATCTAAACCTCACAACATCCCTGTGATGTTGGTACTATCATTATGCCCATTTTTGTGTGAGGAAACAGGCACAGAGAGATTGTGTAACTGGCCCAAGCACAGAGAGCAATAGAGTCTAGTTTATGACCAAAAAAGGCGGAGTTCTCAACCACCATGCTCTGGTGCTTCCACACATTATAGAGAAAACAACTGAACCTGGATGACTATGTGGAGGTCATTTTAATTTGCAAGTAGTTTCAAAGAAAACATTATACGCCTTATATTATTAATTTCCCATCTAAGTCTTTTTAATAAATAACAAAAAAGTGTATTTAGCATTGTCAAGTTAAATTAATCAAAACGTCCAGTAGATAGCATGCCTATTTTTTCATGAGTTCTGATTGCATTTTCACGTTAAGATCACTAACTTACTTCCTTAGTTCTAATCCTGATATTCTGTATTGCAGGAACATGAATGCATTATTTACCAGTATTGCTTTCTTTTTCGAATAAAGATTTTTCCCATGGTAGCATCATTATATAAATTCAAAAAAGGAGACTAGAGAGAGATACTGTTAGTGCCACTGTTACCAAGTGCTAGAACACACTTCAGTAAGGCACCAGCGAGTTGTTTTAAGTGGCCAAATGTCAAACATGGCAAGAGTACCAGGGTATCTTGCACATGCCACCAAAAAGCACATTCTCTGGTATTGTGATAGAGCAGAAAAAGAACATTTTCTTTTCACTCTACAGTACATTATTAACCTGGTCCGTATCATTAATTATTCTTCTAAAAATCTAAGTTAATTTCGGAATAATATCCTATTTTTAGATATATTGTAATTTAATTAATCTTTTATTTCTGAACATCTGAGTTTTCTCTGATTTTCACTATTACTAACAATACTATCATGATCATCCTGTTTACATATGTCTGTAATTATCTCTGTGGAAATTCTGAGAAAGAGAAAGTCTGGGCCAAATGGCTTGCACAATATTAAGACTTCTATTATATATTGTCATATTCTCTTGAAATATTTTTCCCATCTCTGCATTGTACAAGAGATCTCATAGCCCTAAACATTCACTACTGTAGAGAATCGATCCTCTGTTTTTTTAAAAAGCCTTTTGTCTCTTTGATTATAGAAAAAGAGAATTTCATTACTAAACAGGTTGAATTTTTCCTGTTCCTAGGCCATTTGTAGTTTTTATCTTGGTAATTGTCTACAGCTCATTTTTTCTATTATGTTCATTTTCTAACCAAATTGTAAGACTTATTTTATAAAAAGCATATGAAACCTTTTTCATACTTTACAAAAAAGAGAAATACATACTCTTACCTTAAAATAACATTTGTTTTTTGCTTGCAAAAAGGAATACTTTATTTTTTAACAGAAAAAAATAATAAGCAATAATATACAATACTAACATATAATGTGCAATAATAAAAAAACAGTAATAAACATGAAAAATATACTGGTGGTAATTAACATTAACATCATGATAAATATTCTTCCAGCATTTTTCAGATAAATAGGTAGGTAGGTAAATAGATACACAGATGACAGATAGATAGATAATTCTAAACAAAAACAGTAGCATACAGTTATATAGTTTCAAGCCTTGCTTTTATCATTTAATTTATTTTAAACGTCTTCCATATCAATAAGTATTCATGTGCAACATTACTTTTGACAGTAAAATAGTACTCTATTATATGGATTTATCATAATTTATGTAACTATTATTTTATTGTTGGACATTTGGTTTACTTATATTTTTCATTATAAAATGTAATGTTTTTATAATCCTGTTGCTAAATTTTGTGAGCCCCATTTAAGTAATTTATTAGATATAACTCCTAGAAATGGAATTTCTAGACCAAAGGGTATATGCACTCAATGCTTTTTANAGATATAAC